CTTTTTGAGGAACTGCTAAACTCTTCCAAATTGGCAGCGCCATTTTACATTCCTCCCAATGACGTATGAAGGTTCTAATTTGTCCACATCCTCACCAGCCCTTGTTATTGTCTGTCCTTCTGATTTTAGCCATCCTTGTGGGTGTGAAGTAGTATCTCATTGTGGTTTTTATTTGCATTTCTGTGGGTTTTCTTTTCTCTTTCTTGATAGTCTTATTTGTAGCACAAAATTTTAAATTTTGACCAATTCCAATTCTGTTTTTTTTGTCAGTTACTTTTGGTGTCATAATCTAAGAAATCTTTCCCTGACCCACGGTCATGAAGATTTATTCCTCTGTTTTCTTCAAAGAGTTTTATAGTTCTCAGTCTGACATTTTTATGTCTGTGATGCGTTTAAGTTAATTTTTGTGTATGGTGTAAGAAAGGGCTCCACTGTTATTTTTTTTTGCATGTAGATATCCACTTGTTTCAGCACCATTTGTTGAAAAGACTGTTTTTCCCCCATTGAATTTTGGGCACCCTTGTTGCTGTTACTTATTTTAAAGATGCCTTGTGCTTGGGATTATAAAATCCAATCCATGTCTGTTTTGCCTGGATGATCAAAGATTTTAAAACATTTTGAAGAAATGAGAATTTAGTAAGATTTGAGAACCCTAGAACTGGCAGTGTAACTTTTCCTGTTAAAGTAGTAGACTAAGAAACTTTGAATAATGCACACATTCTTTTTTTCTTCATAGGGACATCCAGCGGGCTCATAGAGTGGTAGCTGAGCTTCAGGCTGGAACGTGCTTCATTAACAACTATAATGTCAGCCCAGTGGAGTTGCCCTTTGGTGGATATAAGAAGTCAGGTGAGGAGCTGGGAGGTGTGAATGCAAACCAGGTCTCTAGAGATAGGTTGTAATGCAGACCTTACAAACCAGTATTCCTAAACCTGTCTGCAGATAAGAATCACCTGAGGAAATACAAGTTCCTGGTCCTTTCCCAGATCCACTGTGGCAGTCTCTGGGAATGGAAGTCAAGCATCTTCCCCTACCCAACACTCCCTAAATCTTTCCAGAGGGTTCTGACATATAGCCTGGCTTGTGAACTGCTGATAGATATCTCAAAAAGGTTTGTCTTGTGGGTAGAATACTCTTTCTGCACAGCCTGTGATTGCTGTAAGCATAAAATAAAATCACTCCCTTAGGGGTTCCGTTTCAGGATGTCCATCATCATCCACTGTGGAGGTTTTAGATTCCGTTTAGGTAAAGTGTCTCTAAAGTAATATCTCAGTAACTTTGTTTCCTCTGTTATATCAAATTAAAATCTTTAAATTTATCATTAAGCAATCAATTATTATTGTTTTCATTACCCTTGATGGCATACGGGAGTGTGTTTCCTTAGCCACTGCTCATTCATTTCGTTTATTCTATAGTCAGACGTATGTTACCACAGCATACAAATTTATAAGTCTGGTATATCAGGAGAGGGTTTGAGGCATCAGGAGTATAGCCAGAACCTTTGGAGTTTGTTGCCTGTAAATATTCATTTACATATTTCTCATGCTGTTCTTCTAGAGTGAAAATTGGTTTGGGCTTTGTTGAGACATCATTCTAAGAGTCTGACCTCTAGTTTCTGTGAGAAATATTTACAGCCATCACAGTGCTGGCAAATGTATAAACCCTGATGAACACTGATGAGATGGTGGGTGTTAATTTGACAGTCTTATTTGTCCCTGTGGGGTACTCAGAGGAGTCGTACATACAGGCACAAGTGCAGGTGGGAACCAAGGTGCCATCTTAACAACATGTAACATATAACGTTATATGTTAAGTTTCTGATAGTCCCTC